GTCAATCAGTGCAGCCAGCATTGGACTCCGAGGCTTCGCCAGACTCTATATGTACAATGCAGTGGTCACATGACTATGAAGTCATGTGACGGCAAACCAGGGCAGCCTCAGAATTCAGGATTTGGGAGCTCAGCCGTCGGCAACGGTCAGCCCGCTCCCGTGTTGGCCCGGACAAAGCTTGCAGGAGGATATGGAGGGCTGGGGCACCATTTTAAAGCCAGCTCAACACGTGTAAGTTACTCAGACTGCTCTGGTGCAAACTTTATTCCACTACATACATACATACATACATATATATACGTACATACGTGTGTCATTACTCACCAGCAGCCAGAAGGCTTAAAGGAGAACTATGAGGTGACTGATTTTCACTCCTCCTCATAATCTGAGCCGACCTGTGACAATGAGACTGTCACAGGTCGGCTCAGTAGATCGGGTTGACTGGCGGAACGGACAGGGAGGGGGCGGGCTCAGCTGGCTCTGCCTCTAGATAGGCAGAGCCAGCTGTCACTCACGCGGCTGGGCGGATCTCGACAGTAATGTCGGGATCCGCTCCGGCGTCTCAGTGTACCGCGAGCTGTAGCTCCCTATATACTGAGCTTTGGGTGACGGGAGGGCGCTAGTTTGTGTCCTCCCGTTACCCTAAGGAGAACTATGGGGGAAAGCCCTGACCCCATAGTTCTCCTTTAATCAGCAAACCTCCATATGTTATCGGACTCCTTCCGTGTAACCGGTTTTTAGCGACATTGGAAAGTGAAATGTGTAAAAAAAAAAAATACAAAACCCCAAAACCACGCGAGGAGAATTCGTCAGAATCTGGAGCAGTTTCTCATAACAACCAATCAGCTTCCCTCTTTCACTTTCAAAGCTTAACTGAACAAACTGGAGAGAGAAGCTGATTGGTTGCCACGGGCAACTGCTCCGGTTTTGATAAATCCCCCCCCCAATGTGTGTTGCATTATGGAACGCCTAAATTCCAACCTGGAGGAGCTGTGACTTGCACACGGTACATATTCCTGCATTGGATACACACTTACAGTGCACGTCTGTGCAAAATGAAACGTTCAGCGCATCTCTGCAATACACGCACATTCCCCTGCGTTCTGTCCCATTACAAATGCTGACAGTACAGAACAATACCTGTTGGGTCTGCCAGAAATCCAGTGAGCTCCGGGCTTCCTGTTTGACGTGAAATTAGGGATGCACCAATACCGATACTAGTATCGGTGCCGAGTATTTGGGCGGGCACTCGATCTCGCCCAATGCCTGGCCCGATACTTCAGCTTCCGGTATCAGGAAGCCGGGCAGTGAGTCAATAGACGCCCCCTCCCCCCCAGCTTTCTGATTGGCTGGGAAGCCGTCTCCATGCTCCCTTGTCATTTGTGACGAGGGAGCACGGAGCCGGCTTCCTGGCCAATCAGGCAGCCGGGCGCCGTGTAATGACGGGTTGCCCGGCCTCCTTCTCGACCAATCAGGAAGCCATTCATTACACGGCGCCTGGCTTCTTGATTGGCCAGAAAGCCAGCTCCGTGCTTTCTCATCTCCTGGTGATGAGGGAGCATGGAGACGGCTTCCCTGCTAATCGTGAAGCCGGGTGGCGAGTCATTACACACCGCCTGGCTTCCTTAACCAGTTGACATCCGCGGTGTTAGACCCCCTTCCTGTCTCGGCCATTTTTCAGCTGAGGTGAGTGAGAAGCCCCTCCCCCTCATAGTTCTCCTTTAATGGAACTTCCGGGAATAATATTTGGTATCGGCGAGTACTTAAAAAAATATATATATATATCTCAGTACTCGATACCGAAAAACCGGTATCGGTGCATCCCTACTAGCGATGGGCTCGGGCGTTTCGTACCTCCATGTGCCGAGCAGGAAGCTGACAGCGCCAATCACAGGTACTGAGACATTATCCCGATCTCTGCAGCCGCGGACCGGGACAATGTCTCAGTGCCTGGGATTGGCGCTGTCAGCTTCTTGGCGGCGCTCGGCACTTGGAGCTGCGATTACACGCCCGAGCCCATCACTAATCCCTACCTGAAATCACCGTGCCTCTGCTGCTCTGAATTCCCAAGTAGTGTTGTCAGTCCTGCCTGCTGGACTACAGAGCACCACCCATCACCACATGCATACATTATTTTCTTTCCCAGCAAAAACGTTTCGGCTGCCTTGACTTCCTGTCCACACACACTCAGGTTATTCACAGAAGGGGGAGGAGTTCGGAGAGGGGAACAATCGGGGACAACAGAGCTGAACTGGAAAGTGAGCCGAATTGCAGAATTTATCCCAATCAGCTCTGTTGTCCCGGATTGTTCACGTCTCCAAACTCCTCCCCCGAACTCTTCACCCTTTAGTATATGTAAGGAAAGGGCTCTCGGGAGATGTAGTTCAGGGTAGTTCAGGGGTGTTAGCTAAGTCAACAGGAACTAGGTTGCTAGGTTAGGTGTTAGCTAGGTTGCCGGGGTAGCCCAGCGGCTGCCCCTGCAAGAATGGTACAAGCCTGGTGATGACATCACATGATTAATAATAGCCAATTATGACAACAGGAAGAAGGTAAAGGACTAATATGACATGATGGGGGGGGGCGGGGTAGAAGGTAGGTATGGGTGTAAATAGAGGTAATGCCTGGACATACCCCAAGGGTTACTGTGGTACTTCCCGCACTGCTCCGGGAGCGACCTATCGCCGGGGCTGGAAGCTGCCACACGGGAGGCGGAGCCTCTGCAAACACTTTAGGAAGTCGGCACTTGCGTAGGAACGTCGGGTGATCTGACGGCACGCAGGGGGCCCGGGGCAATGCCAAAGGATATCTCCGGACCTCCCGCCTGCTGCTAAACACGTCGCTTACACAAAGTCACCGCGGAACTATTTCAAACATTTAAAGTGACCCTTTCCCCCGCCCGTGCAGGGAAAAGCAAAATGATCGCCCCAAGCACCTCCCCCTCCTCCCAGCAGCATCCACTCACCTTACTTTGCTCCCATGGCGCTCCGTTCGGCCGCTGGGACCGGACAAGAAAGCCTTAGACCAGGGGGTAGCGAACCTCCGGGCCCTCCGGCTGTGGGGTGGAACTACAAATCCCATGAGGGCATTGCAAGATTCTCACGGCTCCCGCGAAGAGAGATGCATCGTGGGATTTGTAGTTTCACCCCACAGCCGGAGGGCCCGGAGGTTTGCTACCCCCTGCCTTAAAGGGACCCTTGTTGGGGGTCCTCCGGCCCTCCTCCAGCTGTGGGGTGGAACTACAAATCCCATGAGGCATTGCAAGATTCTCACAGACACGACTACCGGAGAGAGATGCATCGTGGGATTTGTAGTTTCTCCCCACAGCTGGAGGGCCCGGAGGTTTGCTACCCCTGCCTTACAGGGTTCCTTTAAATCAACTGCAGAGCGACTTGCTGGAGCGAAAGACCGAGGACGCCTTCCCCCGCCCCCACGTGACAGAGTTGGGTCAGTCACCGGCGCGGTCACATGGAAGAAGAGAAGTGTGAACGCTCACCCCCCGTACCTCCATGTGCTGGGCACTTCAATTCCCTTTCCATCCCAATGGAGTGATGGGAAAAGGAGGGGCAGATGAAGTGGCCCTATTCCCTTACCCTGCTTGGGACCCGGAGCCCCAACGGGCTGTAATGTCTTCTGGTTGAGCAACAAGCGGCTTTCCAGCTGGTAAAGAACCGCCATTGCCGAGGTTCCCCAACGGCGGCAGGTCAACATTGAGCAACAAGCGGCCTTCCAGCTGGTAAAGAACCGCCCTTGCCGAGGTTCCCCAACGGCTGCAGGTCAACATTGAGCAACAAGCGGCCTTCCAGCTGGTAAAGAACCGCCATTGCCGAGGTTCCCCAACGGCTGCAGGTCAACATTGAGCAACAAGCGGCCTTCCAGCTGGTAAAGAACCGCCATTGCCGAGGTTCCCCAACGGCTGCAGGTCAACATTGAGCAACAAGCGGCCTTCCAGCTGGTAAAGAACCGCCATTGCCGAGGTTCCCCAACGGCTACAGGTCAACATTTTCATGAATGGTCTACTACACAATATTCACCTCCGCCTCTCCGCGTCTTGAGGGTCCGTCCCGGGAAGGCTGATGGTGATGGACGAAGGAGCCCCGACATCGTATCTCTTCACCGCCCGCGGGCACAGCCACAGTTTCACCAGGGCGGCGTGCGTCAGGTTGCCCAGGAGACCAGCGACCGGCTGCAGAGGCCCGGGGAAGAAGCTGGCGAAGGAGAAGTGGTCGGACATGTCGCCTCTGCCCCGGCTGTGTCTTTGATAGAAGCGCAGGTACACCCAACCGGACGCCATCCCCAGGCCGTACCCGGCCAGCACGGGGCCGGGGATCAGACCGGCCAACGTCAGCACCGCCACACTCAGGAGGGCCAGCTGGGGCAGGAGCCGGACCCACCGCCGGGAGTCCACCAGCCCATCTCCGAACGTCTGCTTGTGCGCCACCAGGACGGCTCCGGCGAAGGCGGGGAAGCCGTGGACTCGGGTGGAGAAGAGGAAGTGGAGGTCGGAGGAGGCCGCGTAGGCCACCAGGAAGCACAGGGAGCTCAGGACGCCCACCGAGATGCTCACCACGCCGTAGAAGAGGAGCAGCTCCGGGGCCCCCCACAGTGGTTCCAGTCTCCGGCCGGCCCCCAAAGTCAACAGAAGGTTGGCCAAAACGTCCCAGACGTGCAGCTCCACCAGCCCGTGCGTGAACAGGGTCCACAGCCATAGGTTGGGGGGCAGCAGCAGGCCCGGGGTGACGGCCAGGACGTGCGCCGTGTCCACCCAAACGGAGAGGAGGTAGAGGAGCAGAACCGAGCCCCACAGGCACTTCACCAGGACGCTGCTGCCGGACACGACCGCCACCAGGCGGTTCGCAGGGATGGAGCGCAGCATGGCGGCTGCGGGACCTCACCGGAGGTCTAAACCCTGAGGGAGCGCGGGGCCCCGAGATCCTGGGGGGACGTTGACTTTTCTGTAAGGAAGCAGACACGTCCTTATCGTTAAGAAGGCCGGGAGCCCCAACAGTCCACCGGGGTCACCCACCAGAGATACCAGGCCAGGGTCCTCCAATACACGAGAGTCCTAGGAGATGTGTGGCCCTGGGCACAGCTGGATGAGAGTCCTATGAAGATGTGTGGCCCTGGGCACTGCTTGGTGAGAGTCCTATGAAGATGTGAGGCCCAGCTGGATGAGAGTGCTGTGGAGAAGCGTGGCCCCAGACACTGCGTGGCGAGAGTCCTTTGAAGATGTGTGGCCCTGGGCACAGCTGGATGAGAGTTCTGCGGAGATGTGTGGCCACCGGACAATACTGGATTAAAGTCTTATGATGTGTGGCCCCGGACGAATGAAAAGTCCTGTTGCAAGGGGCCCCAGGAACTTATGAGGCTGGATAAGAACCTTCAGAGTTGTGCGGCTCCTGACACCTGTGGCCCCTGACACTTTGGCACTGCTGGATCCGGAACTCTGGACCCCCGGATAGCAGTATATGAACTCCCTGAACACCAGGTTACAACTTCTTGGGCGCCCTGGCACCAGTCTATGAACTCTTGGGGTTGTAGACGCAAATATTTGAACTCTTGGGGCCACTGACACCAAGGGGCCCTTGGTGCTTATAGAGGAACGGTGGGGCCCCTGGCACTCCTGGAAGATTTCTGGAAGCCTTGTACTGAACACTGATGTATGGAGCGCTTCTGGGGCCCCTGGTGCTGCCGCAGGATCTCTGGAGCCACTGACAGCGCTGGATCAGGAACCCTGGGGCCCCTGACTCTCCCGAAAGTGGTCCCTGGGGCCCTCGGAACTGGCACCGCCGGACACAAGTTTGCTGGGGCCCTGTCGCTGGTAGGGGGAAGTGTGGCGGGCCCCCGTCCGCTCCCAGGCCTCGTCTCTCCCGGAAAGGCAGGACTGTTCCACCCGACAACGTCACCAGCAGCGCAGCGCAAACACCCCACTGCGCATGTGCAGAGACCACACCGCTCTGCATGCCGGGAAACGGAGTCTGGAGCTGAGGCTTCGGGAGTGCGTGGTGCGCATGCGCCAGTTTTTTCCGCCCCCCGCAGCAAAGGGCTTCAAATCAGCTCACTACGCATGCGTCGCCCATTCCGCGAGGCACGATGGGAGGCCAGACACCGGTGCTCTGCCAGTCATCCTGTGATTGGTCGCCTGTTGGTCACGTGGATAATGTTCCGGCTTCAGTTCCTTGAAGCTTTGGTACACTTCCCTGTATGTGTGTGAATGTGATTCGTGCGTATAAATGGCAATATTTGGGTGTTAAAAGTACTTTATACATTATATTTGGTTATTACTGGTGCTGGAATATGAGCTCATTATACACATCGTACCTACACTTGTTCAGGCACTTCCTGTTATAGGGTGACAACACTCTGTCCTTGTTCTCTCACTTCCTGTTATAGGGTGACAATGCTTTATCCTTGTTCAGGCACTTCCTGTTGTAGGATGGCAATGCTCTGTCCTTGTTCAGGCACTTCCTGTTACATAGTGACAACGCTCTGTCCTTGTTCAGGCACTTCCTGTTACATAGTGACAACGCTCTGTCCTTGTTCAGGCACTTCCTGTTACATAGTGACAACGCTCTGTCCTTGTTCAGGCACTTCTGTGATAGGGTGACAACTTTTTGTTCAGTCACTTCATTTTATAGGGTAAGCATGCTAGTAGAGACATGCTCTGTCCTTGTTCAGGCGCTTCCTGTTATAGGGTGGAAATGCTCTGTCCTTGTTTAGGCACTTCCTCTTATAGGGTGACAACCCTTTACCCTTGTTTAGACACTTCCTGTTATAGGGCAAGCAGGCTCTGCCTTGTTCAGGCACTTCCTGTTGTAAGGCAACAATGCTCTGTCACTATCTCTCAACTGTGCTCCTGTGTTGTCACATGACCCCGATGGAGACTACAAGCAACTGCGACAATACACATTGTTTAGCTGTCCACAGTTGTCACCATTACGAAGCCGGTCCAGAGCAGCGATGAGCAGCCGACGCTGGAGAGAGTTCGTGTAGACAGGAAGTGGCTGGAATAGGCTGCAGGAGTTCAGCAGCACTGGGGGGATAATAGGATAAAATGCGGACAATTGTTTCTGATGAAACGTTGTATCCTCCCGGCTTCCAGGAAGTCCGATGTTTGCCGCGACGGAGGATTGTTACAATGTGATCACCACGGAGGACACGTTATAGATCACGGGACGTCATGTATGTTGTTGGCGTCATTACCGGATGGTTATATTTCTGATCCGTCGGGAGAGATGAATGCAGAACATGGAACCGTTGTGTTGTAGCGATTGGTGGACATGCTGATTACATTGTATACAGAGCCGACTACAGCCGGTGATCGATCAAAACTACGAACTTATCGAGTTGTGGGACCGCATTACTTCCGGTTTCCTCACAACTACGAGGTTTTTACACAAAACATGTTGAGCACGAGCGCCATCCACGGCATTGCCCTATAGACATAGACCACAGCAATAAAGTAATAAAATGATGTAGGATGACAGTAAGCCAGCGCGTTCTTTATCAAGCTCCTGGGGGGGGGAGAGAGAAAAGGATTTTTCAAAAGTGGGGTGAAGCAGAGGGGAAGCGGGCGAAGAAAAGGGCGGAGGGGGCGATCTCTCAAAACGCCCAGGTGCGCAGCAGCGCTGGTGGAAAAAAAGAAAAAAAAAACACCAACTCATGTGAAGAGCAATAGAGGAGAGCGACCCCTGCTGGAGGAAAAAGCCTACAGCACCTGGTATTCCCAGGCGGTCTCCCATCCAAGTACTAACCAGGCCCGACCCTGCTTAGCTTCCGAGATCAGACGAGAGCGGGCGCGTTCAGGGTGGTGTGGCCGTAGACAATGCTTACACTCTCCCTTGGCCCTCTTGTACATGTCAGCAGCAGCCTGGCCCCACCTCCCCTTTTTCCACAGCTGCTGTCTCTGTCTCCTCAAGCAGGGCAGCCTCCTCCTGCTGCTTTGCTCCCTCTTTAACCTCTTCCGGCCCTTTCTTCTCAAACACCTTCCCAGCCTGGCCCGCACACTCACTGGTCGCCTTCCACTGGCCGCCCCCTAACCCTTTCTCGCCCGCCGCCGCCCTTCACAGCGCAGGGCGCAATACGGACAGCAGCAAACCGGGAAGGACGGGTCCTGCGCTGGCCCGCTGGTCCCAAGGACCTTCCGGGGGCCACAGCTAGCGCTCC